CTTGGATAGACAGATAGATAGATAGATAGATAGATATAGACAGAGAGAGAGAGAGAGAGAGAATGATAGATAGATGGAGAGAGAGATACAGATAGCTAGAGAGATAGAAGTGATGTACATAATTGGTAATGACATGCCAACGGGCAGATGGACAGACAGACAGAAGCCAGGTAGATAAATAGAAAGTGTAGGTAAATAGATAGACAGACAGACAGATAGATAGATAGATAGATAGATAGATAGATAGATAGATAGATAGATAGATAGAGTTAGGTAGATAGATAACTTGGATAGATAGATAGATAGATAGATAGATAGATAGATAGATAGATAGATAGACACAGATAGATAGATAGATAGATAGATAGATGGACCGACAGACAGATAGATAGATAGATACATAGATAGAGAGAGAGAGAGAGAGAGAGAGAGAAAGAGATAGGTAGATAGATAACTTGGATAGATAGATAGATAGATAGAAAGACACAGATAGATAGATAGATAGATAGACAGACACAGATAGATAGATAGATAGATAGATAGATAGATAGATAGATAGACAGACACAGAAAGATAGATAGATAGATGGACAGACAGACAGATAGATAGACAGACAGATAGATACATATATAGATAGAGAGAGAGAGAGAGAGAGAGAGAGAGAGAGAGAAAGAAAGAGATAGGTAGATAGATAACTTGGATAGATAGATCGATAGATAGATAGATAGAAAGACACAGATAGATAGATAGATAGATAGATAGATAGATGGACAGACAGACAGATAGATACAGAGAGAGAGAGAGAGAGAAAGAGATAGGTAGATAGATAACTTGGATAGATAGATAGATAGACAGATAGATAGATAGATAGACAGACAGACACAGACAGACAGACAGATAGATAGATAGATAGATAGATAGATAGACAGATAGCTAGAGAGAGATAGACAGACAGATAGAGAAAGAGATAGGTAGATAACTTGGATAGACAGACAGATAGATAGATAGATAGATAGATAGATAGATATAGACAGAGAGAGAGAGAGAGAATGATAGATAGATAGATGGAGAGAGAGATACAGATAGCTAGAGAGATAGAAGTGATGTACATAATTGGTAATGACATGCCAACCGGCAGATGGACAGACAGACAGAAGCCAGATAGATAACTAGAAAGTGTAGGTAAATAGATAGATAGACAGACAGACAGATAGATAGATAGATAGATAGAAAGAGATAGGTAGATAGATAACTTGGATAGATAGATCGATAGATAGATAGATAGATAGACACAGATAGATAGATAGATGGACAGACAGACAGATAGATAGACAGACAGATAGATACATAGAAAGATAGATAGAGAGAGAAAGAGATAGATAGATAGATAGATAGATAGATAGATAGATAGATAGATAGATAGACAGACAGACACAGGCAGATAGATAGACAGACAGACACAGGCAGATAGATAGACAGACAGACAGATAGATAGACAGACAGATAGCTAGAGAGAGAAAGAGATAGGTAGATAACTTGGATAGACAGACAGACAGACAGGCAGACAGACAGACAGATAGATAGATAGATAGATAGATAGATAGATAGACAGACAGACAGACAGACAGATAGATAGATAGATAGATAGATAGATAGATAGATAGATAGATAGATAGATAGAGACAGAGAGAGAGAGAGAATGATAGATAGATGGAGAGAGAGATACAGATAGCTAGAGAGATAGAAGTGATGTACATAATTGGTAATGACATGCCAACGGGCAGATGGACAGACAGACAGAAGCCAGATAGATAAATAGAAAGTGTAGGTAAATAGATAGACAAATGGACAGACAGAAGGGCAGAAGGACAGACAAACTGACAGACAGACAGATAGGCAGGCGCAGGAGGCCTGGATTGCATACTTTAACTGTTTAGTTATCTGGTTTCCTGGCTACCAGTCTTTATATACATTTATTCTGGATTATGGTTTCCTGATTATTGCTGATATAAAATAGCTGTAAGCAAAATGTCACCTTCTAGAAATGAGCACTTTCATTCTGATTATCTCTAAGGCCCAGCAATGCACCCCTTCCTCTCTTCAAACATTTCCTCATATTGGAAATTCACTCCCACACTCAGCCTGACGTTGGAGGAGGTGCTTTGAATAGTTAATGTCATTCGTTTTTTATAACTAGGCAAATATTCACTGCAGGGAAATGTGTTAATCGTACACAACCAAAGTCAGGCAAATCTGTGCAAAATGGATGAAAATGATCAGGTGTAACTCTGCTGTTGGTGCTGCCACGTATTTCCTAAGGTTTATCTTTGGAAGAAATAAGGCACATGCTCCACTGGTGTACTATGGGTAATTTTTAAACATTGGAAAAACTCTGTATCATTCATTTTGAGAGAGTTTCTCTCGAAAGATAGGACAGAGCTGCATTCGATTCCCTCACCCAAGCAGTTATTTATTTAAGTTAATATAGTGAATTGTGTCTGTTTTACCACTTGGTCTACTTTGATCTAAAAAAAAACTACTTACTCTTGTAGTTCCTGTATTTGCTGCAAGGTTAGGGTTAGTTAGAGTTAACTAGGGTTATGGTTAGCTAGTGTTACTTAGAGCTAGAAACGCTGAAGGTTAGCTGGTGATAGAGCCAGTTAGAATTAGGTTAGTTACGGTTAGCTAGTGTTAGAGGAAATGTTAGGGCATGCCTCTAACAGAGATATTCAGTATTCACAGTATTTTGTGTGGATGGACAAAACTTGGAGAAAATTTTCTAATTTCTACCAAAATGGCAATACTCATATTTATTAAAGGGCCACTATAGTGCCAGGAAAACATACTCGTTTTCCTGGCACTATAGTGCCCTGAGGGTGCGGAAAGGGTTAAATATTACCTTTTTTCCAGAGCCGGGCGGGGAGCTCTCCTCCTCCTCTCCTCCTCTTCGGCTGAATGCGCATGTGCGGCAGGAGCTGCGCACGCATTCAGCCAGTCTCATAGGAAAGCATTCATAATGCTTTCCTATGGACGCTGGCGTCTTCTCACTGAGAAGCACGCAAACGCCTCTAGCGGCTGTCAATGAGACAGCCACTAAAGGCTTTAGAGACTGGATTAACCCTATTATAAACATAGCAGTTTCTCTGAAACTGCTATGTTTATTAAAAAAAAGGGTTAATCCTAGAGGGACCTGGCACCCAGACCACTTCATTAAGTGGTCTGGGTGCCTAGAGTGGTCCTTTAAAGTCCATTCCTGTGGGAATTCGGTCAGCCTGATGCGTTCGGTATACAGAGTACAAAGTAAAGAATTCAGAAGATACATAAAGCATCTGGACACACCGATTTTAACTAAAATTGAGGACCGAATGAATCAGGAAGGATGCACATTCTTATAAAGGATAAAGATAGAGGAGTGCAGGTAGAAATATGTATATAGTATACTTATAGACACTTGTTTGTCCTTTAAATGCCACCTATATACAAAAAAAGTCAAAACATAGCATAATACTGTTTGACCAAATAACATCAATAAATAGATATTGATTTTCACTCACACTTTGCAGAGCCACATATAGTAGGCTCTGACTTTTGTCGCTCTTTTTAAAAATCCCTGGAATGCTTGACTCCACCACGCCTCCAGATCTCTCCACTTGTGCCAGGATGCACATTCTTAAATTATTGTGCACTTGCTTTTTGCAAACAAACTATAATTTTAAGTATTACTTGCCCGTTGGCAGTGCTAGAAGTTAGTTAAATAACCCTAAGCAGTACGATTATTAATTATGTGGTGACTGAGCAGTGCTTGCTAGCCGGCTGCCACATTAAAAACGTAATAAGAAATTAAATAAATTAAAAAATATGCTGTCAATATGACCCTCGTAAGAGATGGGGCTTGCTGATTGAGGAGAATGGCCATTTGATTTTTGAGCTCCGCTACCTGCCACGGTCGGAACGCACATTTTAGGCACTTACCTCTTCCTCTAAAGTTCCCACACAGCCTTTACCCATTAGCGGCATGTGATGGCTCTAATTAATAGTATTTTGGGGGACTTCCAAGTGCACTCCCAGGGGTGGCTGGTAGGGACTTTAAATAATGAAACAATTAAAAATTGCAATTGTCCTCACCCAATCCCATAGGCACCTTTATATTTAGTAAAGCCTACCTTTTGCATCTTCTAATCTTAAGCCCCAGTAAAGGCCAGAGAAAAACTCATAACCCAGCGATGCAACTTTTAAAAAAAAAAAAATCCCAATTGCAAAAAAGCTGACAATAACATATTAAACCCAAAACAACAACAAAAAAATCCTTCTTTGCCCCACGGGGGATCCATGCAGAAGGATTTTAAAAAGGCTTATCCACAATTTGAATTCTAATTAGAGTGCTCTTATTGGTTGGCTTGTAAGCCAACCAATCAGAATGCTCTAATAGTCCCAGAGGCATTTGGGCTGGCTAAAAACCATACCAAATGTAGGTCAATTCCGTGCCTGAATTGCAAAATCAGGATAGTGTTAAATAGTGTGGATGTTATTGAATAATCCTTTAAGTTCTCCAAAACCTGGCAAAAGTACACAAATAGAGGATATGAAGTAATAGGAGACACAAGGCCTGTGAAAATCACCCTTAATATTCTATATGTATATATATTAAAAAAAAGTAACATCTAAAGCTAAGCATGACAAAAATTGGTCACACAGTGAAAAGACTCAAAATAACCAATATTACATAATTTCTGTTGTCTACTTTTAGAAAGGTAATATTTAACAGATTGATGGGGATAAAATACAATTGGGGCTACTATCTGGTCCCATAATTGTTATAGACCCAATAATGAATCGGTAAAAGCTGAAAATTTGGAAATTCCAATTGAGATGTCTATAGTTTGACCCTATAAATTCTGGTCTGGGACATATTCTGCTTGAGGCAGTGGTGGAATACGAATCTGGCATATTTAGAGTAGTGGGACCGACATGAAGTATAAAATTCCCCATGAAAATGAAATGTGAGGAAAAAATTGCCAGAGAGTAGTAATAAAATAGTTAAATAAAATGTGTCAAAATGCTCATTGTTAAATACTCACCCACACTTTTGCTTAGCAGTTTGTGGTTACATGCATGTTATTAAAGTTATGGTGTCAGCTGAGCAAATTTTGTACAGGCTTAGCTTTAAACTTTAATTCCCTTCTTGCAATATTTGTCCTATAACTCCCAACAAAAAGCAACGTAATCAAATGGGGCATTTTGACAATCAAGTCTAAAAAGTGAATCTATTTTGAGTTATTTCTTTAGTTGCCCTAGTTGCTTAGAAATTGTAAGCAACTCTATTAAAAAAAATGTGAATTCCTTTACCTTTTTTAGATTTTTTGTTTCTGTTTTAATATTTTATTCATATCCAATGTTGTGATATGCATACATATCGGGTATCAGAAAGTCCTACTTATCCTTTAAAAAATAATATATACTATGTATAGGTGCACTTAAAGTGAAAACATTAAATTATGGTGGAACAAACAAATAGCAAAAGCACCATGGAGGCCTAGTCACGAATGTACGGAATTTCGTCAAAGGCTCAGTTACGAAGGAGTTAAATAATGCTACAGTCACTTGGAGTATGTAAATCATCCCCACCCACACACAAATGTCCTCCTGCTTCCAGCTTGTAGTTCTTCTATCACATCTATGGGAAGAAGATGTCATGGTTAGATGATGCAGAGAGTATCGTTTTCAGAGAGTCCACAGGAAACCTTATGCTCATCAAAGAGTTGCTTGAGCCCCTGCATGTATAGATTGTGATAGTAGGACACGTCTTCCTCCGAGGGCACTGGAGAGTAAGGCACACAAATGGGACGTCCAACTACAGATGGGGAGAATACATTGTTAATAAGTAGCCAATGTGTTGATAATAATAGGTCAAATAGCATATGTAATGGTCCGATTGCTATGACATGATTGACCACGGATGGCTATCCTTGGCTATCCAAATGTACCTGTATGACATTTTAATTGAAGCCCCTCTAAACACCATGGGAAATGTAATGCATAGACTTCCTGGGATGCCAAGGTAAGCCCTCGTCAGCTGTCGCTGGTCTTTAAGGAGTGAATGAGATTTTATATTCATATGTACATACATTTATATATAGTTTCCATGCTTATGAAAAGAACAGAAACTCAATTCTTCCTTACTTCATCTTTAATTCCTAGTGGATATCTTGTAACTGCGTTTCACCCTTTTGACCCTTTTCTACCTATTTATGTTTCCCTATCGCTCGCACTCTCTTGCCTATTCTGGCTTCTTCTCTCAAAAACACTGTTCTTTTCTCTAGCATTTCTGGACATGACCCATGTTACCTCCTCTGTCCTGTCTCACTCACCTGCCCTTCTCTCGCTCATTCACTCACTCTCCCTAACTCACCATCTCTCTCACTTCGTTGCCATGCACTCCTGTCACTCACTCGCTCATTTACTCACTCACTCTGCACTCACTCAACATTCCTGACCTTCTCTCGCTCACTCACCCGGCCAACCCTTCTTTCCCTCAATCATTCTCCCAATCAATATCCCTGACTTTTTCTATATCTAGCGTCATGATTTATTCTTACCCTCCTCATCCTTGTAGCTCTCATTGTCATCTTTCGCATCCTCTTTGTACATATGGATTTCACTCTCTGTTCCTGTATCCCTTTACTGCCATTATCTCTCCTGGAGACCTTATTCAATCCAAACTACCCTAACATTATGTCTCATACCCTTTTTCCAATTCTATTGTTCTCCCTACCTGCCCTTATCCTGCTACCACACCATAGCTTTCTCTCACCTACCTTCCCAGACTAATTTCCTCACTCACTCTCAATGACAGTTCTATTGCTCAGTCCTTATTTCTGCTCCTCGGTTTTCAGTCACACTCCCCTGTATGTACAGTCACAGGGCCTGTCTGGACACTCCCTCTAACATTCCCTCTCTATACATTCACATGTCTTGTCTGTACTTTCACATTCCCTCTCTATACATTTACATTCATTGTCTGTACAGTCACAGTCCCTGTCTATACATTCACATTCCTTGTCTGTACATTCACATTTCCTCTCTATACATTCAAATTCCTCTGTCTGGACATTCAGTCACATTCAGTCTTTATTCATTCACATTCTTCTGTCTATATATTCACTTTCCTTGTCTGTACATTCACATTCATTCTCTATACATTCACATTCCCTCTCTATATTTTCACTTTCCTTGTTTGTAAATTCACATTCCCTCTCTATGCATTCACATTCCTTGTCTGTACAATTATATCCCCCTGTCTGTACAGTCACAGTCTCCGTCTATACATTCAAATTCCCTATCTATACATTCACATTCCTCTGTCTATACATTCACTTTCATTGTCCGTACAGTAACACTCCATGTCTATACATTCACATTCCCCTGTCTGACACTCAGTCACATTCGTTCTTTATACATCCCGTCTCCATACATTCACTTTCCTTGTCTGTACATTCACATTCCCTGTCTATACATTCACATTCCCCTGTCTGACAGTCACATTCCTTCTTTATACATTCCCTTTCTATACATTTACTTTACTTGTCTATACACTTTTCCTTGTTGTAAAGTCACATTACCCTGTCTATAGATACACATTCCCCTGTATATAGATACACATTGCCCTGTATATAGATACACATTCCCTGTATATAAATACACATTAACCTGTCTATAGATACACATTCCCTTGTCTGTACAGTCACATTTTATTTCTTCTCCTCACATTCCATCTTTATAGTTAAAGTTTCCTCCATGTTTCTCATGTTTCTCTTGTCTGCATTGCGGTCATTCTCAGTATCTCTTATCACTGACTCCGAGCGTTCTCTGAAACCTGATGACACACGATCCCTGGCTAATGTTACCTTAACCTGACATTACACTGAGACACTCCTGCAGAGCATTTCACTTTTATATCCTGATTTGCATATCACTGGTATAACCTGCAGAGAATCTCACTTATGCACCGTCAGAACATCTCATTGATATAACCTTCAGATCTTTGTATTATAACACCCTAAAAAAACCTGACTATACATGTGGGACATCTCTCCGAAATAAACTACTGAGCATCTTCCTTGCACAGTCTGCTGAGCATCTCACTGATACAACCTGCAAAGCATTTCATTTATTAACTCTGCATTGCATGTTATTCATAATCTGCAGAGCATCCCACTGATACCTGGCAGGGTGTCTAAGCTACACGTGTGCATAACACTGATATCAGGTGCAATACAATAATCTCAATAGCATGCCTCTAATTTCAATTGCAACTGTATATATATGGTTTTACAGCTACTGTAGTTCTTATAGCCCCTAGTGCGTTTTTAATCATTGTTGATCCACCTTGAAGCTCCAGAGACTTAAGAACTAATCTGACAACTGAGTGGGGAAGCGGCCATTTCCTACGTTTATCACCTGTCTTTGGTTCCTCGACTTGTTGGCTCCCCACTTTCCCACCTTTGGTTATCCTGGTCCCCACCAGGAGTCTGTCTGTCCATGTCTGGGGATAAGTGCACTTTGAGCCAGTGTGCTCTCTGTGCTCTCTTTATTTCCAAGATGGTCATGAAGCCGAATGTCCCACAGCATAGGCCTTAACCTGTAGAGCTTTTGGCAACCTTCAATAGAATCTGTGAGAAATTTTAGGCCAGACTGAAACCAGCTAAACAATGTTATCCATCTTGAAGGAGATAGGAGTGGGTGCAGAGGAAGGTCTGGGAGTCATGTGACAGGTATTTATAACAGAAGCAGCATCCTGCCTGTACAACAGAGCCTACCCAGGCTGATAACCATTCGAGGGATGTCCTCAAAACATTTTCCACACCGGTAGAGGCAAACCTGGAGGAGACAGCGGATAGTGAAATCCAATCCTGGCTCCTTCATAAACCCCTAAGGGAGATCAACTGGAACACTGTTAGTCACTGGGTCCATGGAGTGAAGGTGTTGGCTCCTTCCCAAGCTCTGGGCTGGTACAGTTGTCCTCCAGGGCCTGCTGTGGATGCCTAAATGAGTGACCCTCATGAAATATATCTACCATTACCTAGCCTAGGAATCGGCTGACTATGTTAAGTCCATGAGATAGCCGGCTCGGTATTAGACCCTCACATGTAGTTTATACAATACTCAACTAGTTTGCCAGTTTTTTTCTACTGGGCTTCCCTGTGGTCACTTTATTTGTAGTTTAAATGTTTCTGTTATTTCTTTTTGCCAATACATTTTGTTATATAGACACGGTGTTATCTGTCTACTTATTTAAACAAAAAACTCTCATTCCATATGCTATTGGCTGCAATGCCATATAATACTATTTTGTATTTTCCAGGCATTGTTTTGGGTATATGTCAATCAATATGTGGTTTGAGTTAATAATTAAAAAAAAAAATTAGAAATTGTTTTTAAAAATCCCTCATAAGAGAAAATAAAGTTCCATAATTCTCCCAGAATTCCCAGGTTGATGCAAATGGGTACAGGCAGGCTTTGAGTTTCAGACTACATCCTGCATTTCTGCAGGCACCATTAGCAATGGACAGTTTTAGACACAACCGGTTAAATCAAAAAGGACCAATGGTGTGATCCACATGGCACCAATGACCACTAATCAACCATGAAATAAACAGTTACAACCTTTTAGATCTTGTCGACATGTTGCTGGTTTAGATCTTGGAATAGAAGTCTTTCTGTTAGTATGTAGTTAAGTACGAAATAAATCGTGGTGAATCCAAACTAGGTAAATCTGCCTGGTTTAGAACATCACGTATCTATCTTCCTATCTACCTACCTCCCTACCTATCTGTCTATCTATCTATCTACCTGCCTACCTATCCATCTGTCTGTCTGTCTATGCCATCGCTACTCACCCACAGTGGTAAGAGTGCGTGGGATCGGGTTGAGGCCCCAGCTGTCCACATTGAACACTCCTCTACCATGGAACAAGCATGGAGCAAATCCTACGTGTTTCTGAAAGAGAAGCTGCAACTTCCAACCCCAGGAATCTGGGTTCAAACGGACTTGCTCAAAGATGTCGTTTTCACCAAAGGAATACACTGGGACCAGATCTGCCCTGTGAGGGAATTAGTGGAAAGTTGGTTATTAGGAAAGCAGCTATTGCTCATCAATACAAAATCATTGACCAATCAATGCACCATAGTATGAACACAGAAAAACATACATTGCTGTTTAATAGAACACACATCAGTACTAGCTCTCCAGCTCCATCTATGGGTGGTCTTAATGTGTGCAGCTCGTGTTGATGGAATGACATAGACTATAGGAATGGTTATTTAATCATTACTCCATAACATTACATCAACCAATTTATCATTGTTAGCCAACTGGAGTTTAAACAGAGGAGAGGATGGACCGCCCACACCGTAAATGGAACAAAGCAATTGTGAAGCACTTTGAACAGAAAATCTATCGTTGCTTTGTGTTGTTTTCCCCGTAATTTATTTGATCATATTTTCACTGAGACTAAATAAACAGTAAGACACATACATTTTTCTATAAAAAGATCTAGATTTTGTTTTCTATTGGTTTAATAAATTGTGTGGCTTTTTAGGATATTGTTATAAAGAACAGGTCATAGAGTGGCCTTTTATTGCGGCCAGCCTAAGGCACACCTGTGCAATAATCATTGCTGTCTAATCAGCATCTTGATATGCCACACCTGTGAGGTGGATGGATTATCTCGGCAAAGGAGAAGTGCCCACTAACACAGATTTAGACAGATGTGTGAACAATATTTGAGAGTAATAGGCATTTTGTGTACATAGAAAAAGTCTTAGCTCTTTGAGTTCAGCTCATGGAAAATGGGGGCAAAAACAAAGTGTTGCATTTATCATTTTGTCCATTGTAGGTACAGGCAGTATCCTATTTCATATTTGATGAGCCACTTAATTAGACACAAGTGCAAGGTTACAGGAACACTATAGTCACCTAAACAACTTTATCTTAATGAAGCAGTTTTAGTGTATAAATAATGCCATTTAGGAGTTAAATCACTTTGTTTCTGTTTATGCAGTCCTTGTCACACCTCCCCTTTCTATGACTGAAACAGCCTGCATGAAAAAAAACAACTAATTTCACTTTCAATCAGATATAATTTACCTTAAACAATTGTATCTCTTGCTCCGTAAATTTAACTTTAGTCACATACAGGAGGCTCTTGTAGGGTCTAGCAAGCTATAAACATAGCAGGGGATATGCAAATCTAAATTAAACAGAATGTGCAATAAAGAAAGGATAATCTTTAGATGACTCTTTACAGGAAGTGTTTAGGAAGGCTGTGAAAGTCACATGCAGGGAGGTGTGACTAGGGTTCATAAACAAAGTGATTTAATTCCTAAATGGCAGAGAATTGAGCAGTGAGGTTGCAGGGGCATGTGCTATACACCAAAACTGCTTCATTAAGCTAAAGCTGTTCTGGTGACTATATTGTCCCTTTTTAACATAAATCAATGCAACCTGCAAAGGTGGTATTGATATGTGGGTCAGCCTCTTGCCAAATCAGGAGATACAAAAGTTTCTCAACTTGACCTGCTGAGCAACATATCCACTAAAATAAATGGTCAAAAACTGAGGTAGAATCAGTGGAACGTCACTCTTCTTGAAGAATAGTGTGTATGTGTGCCAGAGCTTGATCAATGTGCACTCTAAATGCAGAAAATTGACACAGTTCCCTAAAACTGTGTTTGTTTCTTCTTATTACTGTATTTTAAAGATAACAGTTTACATACCCGTTTTGCAGAGCCAGTCTTACAAAACCCTTTCTCCTTGACAACATGACTATATGCTCCCCTGGGCTGCTCTGCAAGGACTCTGCTGCACCTCCCACTACAATGAAGACTGCATTTCCTGAACCGCTTTGAGAAAGCAGGAACCGTATGCTGTCTTTACTCACTGGGACAATGCCTGAGGAAAAATTATTTTATTATTATTGGTACATATAGCACCAATTATTCAGAAGCACTTTACAATATATGAGTAAGATATAGAGAGAGCCGGGAGAGATAATGGATTACAGAAGGTATGTGGTCAAAAAATTGCCATAAGTTGCAAAGCACAATAGTCGTATTATTGTATTGTATTGTCCATAATGCGAGAAAGGAACATTTTGTAGATCATTCCCTGTTGGATTTTCTGGTGGAATGCGTGAATATTCAATCTGTAGACCTGGTATCTCTTCATTTCATACATCAGGTGTTTTATTTTAAGTTGTTGTTAAAAAAAAAAAAAAAAAACTTCTCGGAAGTTGAAAGAAATTTGCTTGTGATTTTCCAAGAATTGTCATTACATTACTTTTTCTACCACTAATATACAAAACCATAAAACCCTAGAATTTTCACCAATTTAAGTAGAACTTATTTCTTCTATGCTGAGTCACTCACCTGCTGACATTAAATAATCCCGAAAAACAGGCAGACGGAATATGCCTGCAAGAACCGCTAGCCAAGGACAGACCCCAGGATACAGGTTGGAAAAGTCATTAGCTTCAGTCGCAAAATTACAGAAGGCAGCAGCAGATAAGATGCCGTGAGGATGACAACCCAGAACATAATTCTTATCAGGACTAAGTGAGGATGTTTTCACCAGCTGTAAGGAAAGAGACAGCGGTCAGACAGAACAGGTCAGAAAAAGACAGATGGGTCCCAAAAAAGGAATGTAATGTAGAAATATTGAGATTTATAGAAAAGAACAGCAAGAAGGAAAAAAAGTATTTGAATTGAACAGACTGATGGAGGAAGAATATCTTTGGACAAGAATAGAGAAACATTACATTAGGTTAGATCCAATTGTAAAGTATGGGGTTCAAATGACTGCATATCTTTTGTATGTATTTTATAGATAATGCATCAAAAATGGCAAAAAATTATATTAAAAATGGTCCTCAATGATCCAGAAACTTCACACGTGACAAGCTACTACTCCTCCAAAGGGAGGCTTCACCAATCAGAAGCCTTTTCATTTTGGGCTATACATTTATTCTTCCATGTTAAATTTGGTCCATGAGAGTTTGAAGTCCCTGGTAGTAAATGAGTGTGGGAAAGTGTGAAGAAAAATGTAAAGGGAAATAGATATGCTGAGAAGATAAAAGTATGTAAGAGGCATGGTAAAATTGGAGAAGGAAAAAGACGTAGAAATGAGTTATAGTGAGAGTGACGGGATATGGGGGTAAGAGGGAAGTTGATAGAAAACAACAATAACTGAAGATATTAGTTGTACGGGGCTAAGGATGTATTGTAAAGCATTACAGATGAAAAGTACAGCGATAAGAAGGTGGAGTTACAGAACTTGGAAGGTTAAGGAAATTGATTAAATAAGAAAAATGAGAAAATATAGTGAGGAGTAAGGATAAAATAAAAATGTTTTGTACAGGAACCTTTATAGGGAAATATTCTCTGAAACATGACCATACAGTCCATCTCCTCACCCACTGAGTTCTACGACCACCTGAAAAGACAAGACCAGATAGAGAATTCTAGAGTTTGGGATATTGAGAAAGGTGGAGAAAGAAGACAGAAAAGTGATAAGATAGTGGGAAACATGGAATGGAAAGCTATCACAAACGAGATGGGAAATATAAGGATAAAGCTTAAAGGATCACTATAGGGTCAGGAACACAAACATGTATTCCTGACCCTATAGTGTTAACACCACCATCTAGCCCCCCTGGGCCCCTCATGCCTCCATAAATATAATACAAATCTTACTGTATTCAAGCCAGAAGCTGTAAATCTGCATGCTGTAAGACTCAGAAAAATAAGCAGTCTGCTGACATGTGGTAGCCTGATCCAATCACAGTGCTTCCCCATAGGATTGGCTGAGACTGACAAAGAGGCAGATCAGGGGCAGAGCCAGCATGATTCAAACACAGCCCTGGCCAATCAGCATCTCCTCATAGAGATGAATTGAATCAATGAATCTCTATGAGGAAAGTTCAGTGTCTGCATGCAGAGGGAGGAGATACTGAATCACAGGATGCTGTGCACAGTGCTGCTCTGTGCTCTGCTGACAGCAGATCTGAGTGGATGGAGGCATATTATGCCTCCATCAACTCCGAAGTCCCTCTGGTTCACTCTGAGTGACTGCAACTGGAGGTGTTCCTAGCTGTCAATGTAAACACTGTATTTTCTCAGAAAATACAGTGTTTGCATGAGAAAGGCTGCAGGGAGCTATGGTTCTCACCTGAACAACCTCATTAAACTGAAGTTGTTCAGGTGACTATAGTGTCCCTTTAACCCCTTAAGGACCAAACTTCTGGAATAAAAGGGAATCATGACACGTCACAGATGTCATGTGTCCTGAAGGAGTTAAGAAGATACTGGTAACCAAGGAGTTGGAAGAAACTGAGTAATAGTACATGCAATGCAGCCAAATTTGAAAAATAGTATAAAGCAATGAATGCAAAAATATCAGAAAATGGGGAATAACAAAATATAAAGAAACAGGAATTGACAGATGAAGAATGAGAAAGGAATGGGGAACGAGTAATGGTAATACATCATCACAGAGTTTAACCCCTTAAGGACACATGACGTGTGACACGTCATGATTCCCTTTTATTCCAGACGTTTGGTCCTTAAGGGGTTAAAAGGAAGAGAATTAAACTGAGAAAGTGTGATAGCATGGGCATATAAAGGAGGAATCATAAGTACTGAGGGACAATAGAAGCTACAGTTGTGAAATTGTAGCTGGTCATAGTTAAATAAGTACCTCTTTCTGGAGTATCCCAGTCAAAGAACAACCATGTGAAATATGTCACAGGAATCAACCATAATGAGGTAAACATCAGATACAAAAAGAGGAGTGTAAAAATGGCTCCTGCAAAGAAATAGAATGATAAAATTAACTCATACATGTTACACCATGTCAAAGTATACAGTTAAAGGAACACTATAGTCACCTAAATTACTTTAGCTAAATAAAGCAGTTTTAGTGTATAGATCATTCCCCTGCAATTTCACTGCTCAATTCACTGCCATTTAGGAGTTTAATCACTTTGTTTCTGTTTATGCAGCCCTAGCCACACCTCCCCTGGCTATGATTGACAGAGTCTGCATGGAAAAAAAACTAGTTTCACTTTCAAACAGATGTAATTTACCTTAAATAATTGTATCTCAATCTCTAAATCAAACTTTAATCACATACAGGAGGCTCTTGCAGGGTCTAGCAAGCTATTAACATAGCAGGGGATAAGAAAATCTTAATTAAACAGAACTTGCAATAAAGAAAGCCTAAATAGGGCTCTCTTTACAGGAAGTGTTTATGGAAGGCTGTGCAAGTCACATGCAGGGAGGTGTGACTAGGGTTCATAAACAAAGGGATGTAACTCCTAAATGGCAGAGGATTGAGCAGTGAGGCTGCAGGGGCATGTTCTATACATCAAAACTGCTTCATTAAGCTAAAGTTGTTCAGATGACTATAGTGTGCCTTTAAGCAACTAGAACAACACATTTGCAACCAAGAAAGGGTGCCAAATCTTGGAAATAATTTCAAGATATCTGGATCTTTCATGAATGTATACGTACCAGCAACCATTTCCCACCTGCTCTTTGTCAGTGTCAATAGATAGACCTGATGCTATTCCATGTGGGGTTTCATCACCTCTTCTACTTTCCATATTAAGCCTTAATGTGCATATTTCTTTGGTTGGGAAGTGAGTGCCCTTCATATAAAATGTTATTTGCTAGTATGAAATGAGGGCACTCCACATATACTGAGGTTTTACCCTTCATAGATATTTGTCCTGGACTTTCTGTCGACACAGAAGGCTTCAAACATTGTCGAGAATTGGAAATTCAAACAAGTTCATAACTGTGCAAAGTTCTGAGAAGAAAACCATCACAATTCATTCAGAACTTTGATATACCTGGGTGTGGGTGAGGAAATTAGGAGAAACAGTAGGACAATATGAATGAATGATCATTTGTGTGAATACACACAAAATCACAGCTCGTGCATTAATGACAGCATATGGCTTCAAAACACTTTTTCTAATTAAAATAAATCCCAGGCATCTACATAAGATATTCCCAGCTCCTCGTCCCTTGTGTACTAGTAGAGGTGGGACCTTATTTATATGTAGTGAACATGTGATTAGATCCAACTTGAGAAAGACATTTTCTACCCAATAAACTCTGTTAAACATAACTGATCTATCACAATTTCCTAATTTCCTACAACCTTGTCCTTTTCTCCCCTTCATGTACTTATTACTTCATACAGGACAGTTGCTCAGGCTACTGGAGATTGTAGTATTTCTTCCCTCTGTATAGTGGCTCTTCTAAAGAGTTGTTTGCTGGGACCAGGCTGAGCTGAAGTTCACATTCTGGTTTGTTACATATCTCACTTTTGGAGAGTGGACTTCCATCCATAAGCGGGGATTATATCTCTCAAGTATAGATATTGGAGGTATACTGTTGACTTTGTCTTCCTCCCCCGTTGATTTAAATATACTAAACTATCAGTTTCTACTTTGTCCAATTCTTGTCATTTGCACATTTAAGGATGTTTAAGGCACCACTTCCTCTTCAAGTATATTATCACTGACAGGAGAGGAGCGACCCCAGGTTGGGTTGTGTTGCTGCCTAACGTGTCTCACCAGAGTAGCCCCCAGTGATTGACCATTTGTATATATGTTTAAACACTTATTATACTCTGTGTTTTCATCTGTGCCCCTACCTAGACTGGGTATCGCTAACAGTGCCCCACAACGCTCACAAGTACCGTATATCAGAGATATTCACTGAAGTGTAATTTAATGAGAATTCAGAGTGGATTTCAAAGTTTAGGACAAAATACATGAAAACGTAGCAGACCTTTTTGAATTCCCAATAATTTACACTTTAGTGAATACTCCACTTGCTATATTACATGTTATAAGAAAATGAATGTTACGCTTTTAAGATTATCATTTTAAATTGATTTATATAAAGAAAATATCACGTGGCAGAGCCGCTTCTTCTTATACTTGCCCCATCATTATTTATTTGCAAGTTACATTTTTTTTTACATAATGCAGTTTTACTGTTCTTTATCTCTACAGGTATTTACCCATCAGAAGAAATGACAGAACCCATTGGAAAACACTCAGAGCTAGGATATGTTTCCGCAAAGAGTCTTCCATCATGCAGATATAGTATCTTATCTGTCTTAAATCTCTGTAACGTCTGTAGAAAGAAAGAGATGTCTGTGTAACGCCTGCATGACACAGGATAAGTCAGTGTATCACATAGACATACCACTTACCTGCCTCAACATTGTCTTTGGTCCAGATTCCTAGCATCCACGGGCCGCACATGCACATATTAAAAAGCCCTGGTTTAGAGGACACATGGAGCAGCTGCTGTTGGCCCCTACAGAATATGGGGTCCAGGGCAGCTGCCCCTTTTGCTCTGCGGTAAAGACGGCCCAGAGAGTAGCAGTCAAACCTTGCGTCATGGGGTATAATGCATGATATCATACACTGTACATTATGAGGTTTGGAGATATGATCTGTACATTGAAATATATGTCATAATGTTTCTGAAAATAATTCCCATCCATGTGAACTGACCTATACACACAGGGAATGGGTCACTGTTCTATTCACAGAGGGAATGGGTCACTGTTCTATTCACAGAGGGAATGGGTCACTGTTCTATTCACAGAGGGAATGGGTCACTGTTTTATACACACAGGAAATTGGTCACTTGTTCTATACATACAGGGAATGGGTCACTGTTCTATTCACGAAGGGAATACACGCAGGGAATGGGTCACTGTTCTATTCACACAGGGTTTGGGTCACTGTTCTATACACACAGGGAATGGGTCACTGTTTTACCCACAAGGGGAATGGGTCACTGTTCTATTCACAGAGGATATGGGTCACTCTTTTACCCACACAGGGAATGGGTCACTGTTCTATTCACACAGGGAATGGGTCACTGTTTTATACACACAGGGAATGGGTCACTGTTCTATTCACAGAGGATATGGGTCACTGTTTTATACACACAGGGAATGGGTCACTGTTCTATTCACACAGGGAATGGGTCACTGTTCTATTCACACAGGGAATGGGTCACTGTTTTATACACATAGGGAATGGGTCACTGTTCTATTCACAGAGGATATGGGTCACTGTTTTATACACACAGGGAATGGGTCACTGTTTTATACACACAGGGAATGGGTCACTGTTCTATTCACACAGGGAATGGGTCACTGTTTTATTCACAGAGGGAATTGGTCACTGTTCTATACATGCAGGGTATGGCTTACTGTTTTATACACACAGGGTATAGGGCACTATTGGTGACTGTTCTAAAAATATTGAGAAAGAATGATGTGACTATCCTTTATGTTGTACACAAACAGAGAGGATAATGCCATTGTTCTAAATAGGAGAGAGATAAATAGTTTATTAAAAGTTTGCCTGAGCATGGCCTCTTTACTGAGTTTCTTTTGCCAATAATTTAGTTGAATAAATATATGAACAGTGCCCCTAATACATGTACAATTATATACAAAGAAATAGATGTGACTATTCAATACGCATGCAGAAAATTATGTCACTGTCTTGTACACACAGAGAATTATGTCATTGTCTTGTACACACAGATAATTATGTCACTGTCTTGTACACACAGAGAATTATGTCACTGTCTTGTACACACAGAGAATGATGTCACTGTTTTGTACATACAGAGAGATATAGAGAGAGTTGTACACTAAACTGTGAATTCTCCAAATCAGCAATGTATTCAGTTGGAATATTTTGGAATAACATTTTTAATTCCGAGCAGTTCACATTTCCATACATAACCCTGTCAAAGACAGTCGTGTGCTTAATCTATACACACATAGAATAGTGTTCCTGTTCTATATACAGAAGGTGAATGCTGTCATTATATTATATATAACATTGTGTCACTTTTACTTTCGGATCTCTATGCTATACACAGATTTACTTTTTTTGTCAACTGCCCATTTATATTTGTCAATGTGTCACCTGCTTGTAGATAGATACATAGAAATCCGAGGACACAACTAATAGAACTGCTCTTTGTATTCCTACACATATTGATACATACAAGGACAACACAGCTGAATGTCTCTCTGAATATACAATGCATTTACATACAAGACACAATATTCTCTCACCTTCCAGGAGGGCTGTCTTCTTGTGTCTCCCTATCTTAGTGTGTCCGTCTGTGAGTCTACCTGTTTGTACATAAAATATGTGTCAGTGTGTGATTGTAGTTATGCATTAATGTGTGTTTGTCTCTATGTGTGTGAATTTCCTTTCTCACAAAATGTGTGCGTTTGTGTGTGTCTCTCCTGGTTCATGTGTTTTTGTGCATTATCTATCTCAATTTCTGACCTTTGCTCATGCCAGTGATGTGTACTGAAAGGATTTTGACCCAGGAATACAGAAGATTTAACTCCTGCTCATCCGAAGCTCTACAGAACACCATTGACAGAACGTATGTTGACTGCCAGACACTTTGTCCAGTTTTGTGCGTTACCCTCAATAGGATGTTCTCTTAACTTTGCCATGATAGTGAATTCTGCATTAACCCTCTTTCAGACTTTTTTCCAGCTGGTATTCCAGACTCTCTATTTCACACGGGGTAGGGCAGAATAAAACCTGTGGGCTGGTGCTTTGAATTTAATAATTCAGAAAAACAATGTTTGTCTCAATTGTGAAGCATTTCTAAAACAATAAGCAAGGCAGGATTTACCAGTAAGCGTTGTATGCTGTAGTATACCCCTCTACTGGGAGCACTTATCCTGGAAGTTTTTTTTAATTTTCCCTCTTATAAATCATTGGCTGGAGTGCCAAGTCCAATTAATATTCAGTTACATCCTGCACGCCCATTTAGACTGCATATTAAGCATTCACACGTAGTTCTCTGCATTTACACCTTGCAATCAAACCCTGCATGTATATTGCATTTAGACCATGCACACAGTATTCACACTATGTATACTACATTCAAACCACACACACAGCATTGACATTACATATACTACATTCAGGCCACACACACAGCATTCACACAATGCGTACTACATTCAAACCATACAGACAGCATTCACACTATGTACACCACATTCAAACCATACACACAGCATTCACACTATGCATACCACATTCAGACCATGCACACAGCATTCACACTATGTACACCACATTCAAACCATACACACAGCATTCACACTATGCATACCACATTCAAACCATGCACACAGCATTCACACTATGCATACCACATTCAAACCATACACACAGCATTCACACTATGCATACCACATTCAGACCTTGCACACAGCATTCACACTATGCGTACTACATTCAGACCATGCACACAGCATTCACACTATGCATACTACATTCAGAAATAGTGCACTAGAAAAAGTGCAGAGGCGAGTTACAAAATTGATAAAAGGAATGGAGCATTTTAGTTACGAAGAAAGGTTAAAAAAGTTAAATCTCTTTTAGTTTGGAAAAACGGCGCCTCAAAGGGGATATGATAACATTATGCAAATATATTGAGGGCCAGTACAAACTATTATCTGGAAATCTATTTATAAACAGGGCTATACATAGGACACAAGGTCACGTATTTAGGCTGGAAGAAAGGAGATTTCATCTAAGGCAAAGAAAAGTTTTTTTTACAGTAAGAGTAATAAGGATATGGAATTCTCTGCCTGAAGAGGTGGTTTTATCAGAGTCCATACAGATGTTTAAACTAAAATTGGATAAATACTTGCAAAAACAGAACATACAGGGATATAATTTCTAATAAGTGGGTTAATAGCTGCTTGATCCAAGGAGACATCTGACTGCTTTTGGGGTCAAGAAGGAATTTTTTCCTAGTTTGTTGCAAAATTGGAAGCGCTACAGACTGGGGTTTTTGCCTTCTTTTGAATCAACAGCAAAAACATATGTGAGGAAGGCTGAACTTGATGGACGCAAGTCTTTTTTCAGCCATGTAACTATGTAACTATGTATATGTAATCTCAATGCATATAATGCAAATAGTGCCAGGAGGTCTTGGGAGCTGTCTCAAGAGTCAGAATGTTTTCAAATGGTTTAAACCCAAACTTTTAAAGACGCCACCTGTCCACTTTGCGGCTCTACTTATCGTGTCGGTCTGATGTTTCAATGAGGAAGCCTTAGACCAGGGACAACAGAGAAGCTGAGAGTGTCAGCCGATCACTAGCTCTCCATTCACAAAACTGTATGAGAAGGCTACGTACAGGCACCAAAGTAGGATGGCACCAAGACCTCCTGGCACTATAACAACTTAATGAAGATGATATTGTTATGGTACACAGAGTCTTCCTTCAAGCATAGACTTATCCTATGCCAGACACATATCTATAGAGTTTTTTAACGTCTGCTATTATAATAATTTTTAATTACACATGCATTTTACTTATAGAAAGAATAATGTTATGTTTTATCTAATGTGTCTGACCATGTGTTTAATTATATTGTTTCTTTATATAATTTAATATGCTTTAATTCATTATGTCATTATAACTTCACATAGTGAATATACTTTTAAGGTGAAACGTTGTATTCAATAAACAGTGGCTCCACACTAGTAGCAGTGACAGACACCATACGGACTTGAGCCTGTTTAGTAAAAAGTAGCGACAACATGGGAAATTAGCTTTTAGTGGAAAAAACCTGATCCACGTGTAAGATATACACTGTCTGGTTAAATGGAGATTGTGAGGGCAAATTCTTCCACCTAACTTTACAGAACTCTAAAAGAGATTCGACGTGAAGATTAAAGAGCTGGATAAAACAATAGACATGCACTCAGAGTAAACACATACCCCGACGTTAAAAGAAAAACACAAAACATTTTATTTATTTTTATTTTATTTATTTTTTTATAAAAAAAAATAAAAAATATTGCACACATGCTCTAACCAAACCTTGACTTTAGATTCTTAGTCACTGACCAACAAACATGGTCAATGCATTTCTGTACATAGTTAATGATCGATACGATGACAGATTCTAATATGAAGAGGTTCAACACTATATACACAAGGGACATTCCCAGTATAGTCTGGTTTAATGTTTTCCCTGTATGACAATCTGTTACCTTATCAGGCATTTAAATGACCCAGCAATCACTAGAGTATTAGAAACCATAGTGATATCCTAGAGTACATAAAGGAAGGGTAGGCATAGGAGTTGCTAGGGTTGGAATCTGGAGGTTGAAGCCCAAGATGTCAAACTCTTCAGCCCCGATCTACTGGTAGTGGAGGCGGAGGAACATTATATTGTGTTTTATTACACTCATTGTTTTATTTATTATTGTGAGTAAATTGAGCTTCCATCTGTAATAGGAGAGAGTGCTACATGACTGTCCACCATTGTGTTCACAGTTTGCCCTGTAATTGAGAGCATGTCTTGGAACCAATACATAGGGGCATATCTCACGTCTTTGCAGAGCCAAACACCCAGGAAGAACCTTCTTTATAATCTACAAAACATCATCAACCATGAATGCTGCAATGTTAATTTTTAATGCTTCTTTGTTAATATTTTTTTATCAGCTTTATTATTCATGATTTTTGAAGTCATTTGTAATCAGTATGTAAATTGTAGTTGGGACCACGCCAACTCAGAAATGTGATTTTTCCACTGGATTGATCACAGCACAGCTCTTTCAATAAAAAAAGAAAGAAATTTAAACTCTCTAAGACACAAAAGTGGTCTGGTCTGAGGTTGTATTCAATAAAACAGTTGCTAACATTATTATTTATTTTAATTTATTTTAGTCAAAGAAGCTGCCTGATATAAAAAGAAAGGTCACGGGTATAGTGCTTTGTAAAGTAACTTTTGGGGCGGGGTTCTTGGGAACTGATTTTTGCTGCATATCCCTCTATTAAGTAGGCGCCTTGGCTAGATTTCATTGAATGCCTGGCTGTACAGCATTCTTATGGCTAGCCTCGTGTCGAGGAGAGTTTAAAGGCAATGTACAATATAAGAAACCCACAGGTTTGACCTCTTTTTAGAGGAAAGTATCTTGATAGCGCTATCCTGGTGCCATCACTCATTCTTTAAAATGAATAAAATAAAAGGGGTCCAGGCACTCCTTGGTTCAAGACAGACACTTTATTGGAACCACAGCAACGTTTCAACCGAATAGCTCTTATTCGGTCAAAACGTTGCTGTGGTTCCAATAAAGTGCCTGTCTTGAACCAGGGAGTGCCTGGACCCCTTTTATTATATTCAATTGATCTTGAGAATCTGGTGTTTGGTTCTGGTACAGTAAGCACCCTGGCTCTGACTGATGGGAGTGAGTGCAGTTCAATCAAAGCATCTCTTGTTCTTTAGACATCTCCGGTCACTATCAACACAAAACCAGCTGACATTCTTCTGGAATTCCATAGTGAGCTTTGTGAGTTTCAAATAGATCCTGAAGTTTCTTGACGTATAGAGCATGAAGAGAGATTATGTCTTCTGTAGTGGGAGATGGTGTTTTTTTCACTGGGATGGAAGAGCCCACTGAAAGAGACAGGAACAGTTAGAAAACTACAGACCCAGGAACTTAACATCCTTGGTTGGGTAATTATTGGAAGGGCTGTTCAGGGATAATATTCAAGGATTCAATTTAAACAAAAGTATCATTAGTCGGAATCAACATGGTTTTATGAAAGACAGGTCATGCCAAACTTACTTAACTGCATTTTATCAAGTAGTTAGTAGACATAGTTAGAATATGTTCCAGTAGATGTGATCTATTTTTTGCTAAGGCATTTGATACAGTTCCACACAAAGGTTTACTAGTAAAAACTAAAATCAGATGGTTTAGACAAACAAATTGTGTTCTTAAAGAGTGCAGAGAGTAGTTATACTTGGAAAAGTTTCAAATTGGACAAATGTGGTAAGTGGAGTGCCTCAAGGTTCTGCCCTGAGTCCACTTCTCTTAATCTGTTTATAAAACATATTGAAGTGGGCATTGAAAGTCATTTATCTGTGTTTGCAGATGACAAGAACTTGGTAAGAATAAACAGTCTGAACACGATATAGTTTCTCTACAGAGGAATTTGGATACATTGAAGGACTGGGCTGGCAAGTGGTAGATGAGATTCAATACAGATAAATACAGAGTCACTTAAACATTAAATGAGATTAGTGATAACATTAAATGAAAAGGACTTGGGAAAAATTATAGATCACAGACTGTGCAGCAGAATGCAATGCCAGACTGCAGTTGGATAAGCTAGTAAGATGCTTAAGTGTATAAAAGAGGGTTTCGATTCATGTTATCCAAATAATTTTGCCTCTTTACAAATCGATGGCAAGCTCCCACCTTGAATATGCAGAGCAAATGTGGGAACCAGTTCTAAAAAAGGAGATTGCAGAACTAGAAAAATTGCAGAGGCAAGCAACAAAACTAGTAAGGAGAATGGAAAACACGAGTTAAGAGGAAAGGCTAAAAA